TAGGGAGGTGCGTCTGGGTGGGATGGTCTTTGGAGGGTTGGTGTGGTCAAATGGCCTGCTTCCACACAGTAGGGATTCTATGATTAAAAACAGAATCAATATTTTAGGCATATTTCAAAAAACGTTGCCAATTAAAAGTATCTTCACAAACAAACTGATCAGTGTACCCCAATTTAACACCATTTAAATGATTCAGTAAGGTTTTAAAGTCATTGACTTAAGATAGTTTAATTACTGCTGGAGTGCTGGGTGCAAGTAAGAATATTTAACATTTGTGATAAACAAAATTTCAGCTGTATTAAAAGAACTGTACAAGGTTACAACTCTTAAACATTTTCACAGAATTTCACTTCTAATACTGAAGAAACAATGATTATGCTTATTACATAAAGCTCTTGTGTTAATTTTTGAAAGATTTTATCTTTTTGATTCTGCAATGGATAATGATAAACATTCGAACAGTAACCTGACCGCTGCAATTTACTTCAGTTCTCACATTGTGCCAAAGCAGAAACGCTTTGCTTGTTACTGTTTAGATTGCACCTAATTCAAGAGCAGCAAATATTTTATAGGAATGGCATTCAGTTCAACAAGTAGGGAATTATTTTGCTTGTTTATTATGTGCAGAGAAATTGTGCACATGTTCTTAACTGTTTTTTGTAATTTACACCTAAGTAATGAATCTTCAGCAGACAATGTTGCTGGCATGGACCAGATCATGAGAAGTGAAGTAGGCACAACCCATGGTTTCTATTCAGTAAAATTAATGGATGAAAAGATCAGGGGACTGTACATCTGTGATCTCTTGAGATTTGCTGCCAGCTTTAATCTTTTTGGGTACGTTGAAACCAGAGTCAGATCAGTCATGCACAGAACACCTTCAAGAATAAAATAAATTAGTATATTAAAAATGTGCTTCATTATGGCATGAAATGTAATTCTTTTAGTAGCAATTTCATTTTATTTAGTAAAGTTAATAAAATTTAATCAAATGCCTGATCATTATTAAATTAAAACCTGTAATCCTACATCCAGAATCAATGGAATTTTCAGCATCTAACATACACTATTTCTAGACCTTCCTGGGAATTCTCATAATTAGTTGGCATAAATTCATAGAAGATGATTAGAAGCTCTGTTTACACTGTGTATGGTGAAGTTCCACTGATCTCTCAAAGAAAATAAGGTGATCAATCAGAAGGATACCTGAGAAAATTCCCAACATGTATACTAAAATAGCACAAGAAACAGGAGACGAAGCAAATCTTCTGTCCCCTCTTGCCTGCATCAACTTTCAATAAAATCATGGAAGATCTTTGATTTCGATTTTATTTTTCTGTTTGATCTCCATGTCCATTGATTCTCTTAGAGTACAAAGGTTAATTTCAATCTTGAATATATTCCAAACTATATTCTGCCAATTTGGTTTGTCTAGTCTATATAAAGATTTTAGTTCCACCTCTCAGCCACATTAAATTTGTTTGAAATCCATTTCATTTCTTGATTAACATCATATAATATTAATGTCCAACAGTATCACTACAATCGAGGGACCCAAAAACTAGTCCTACCGGAGTTTTGTGCTCCATGCTGTTTTTCACCTCCAGGGATAGTAATTCTACTTCCTGTTTTTATGAACGATGCTTCTTACTCAATACTGTCCATGGCATCCTTTTATTATTAAGGCTACCTTTGCCCATTTTTCTCATTTTGTCTCTCTTTTTAAAATGGCAGGTGTTCAGGAATTTTCAAAATCTTGACAATACCCAGGCTTGGGCTGAAAAATGGCCAAACATTATTCATGCCACGCAAATGTCAATGACCATCTCCAACAAGATAGAATCTAACCATTGTCCCGTGACATTCAGTGTCCCCCACAATCAATATTCTGGGGGTTACCTTTGCCTAGTAACAGAAGCTGACATATAAGTAGATTGGCTCTTGTAGCCAATCAGAGGCTAGGAATATTACAGCGAGTAATTCACCTCCAATCCCTGAGTATACTTAGGGACGTTTCTAACCCACTTGTCAGGCTGATAAAATAAATGATTATTTCAACTTTTTAGATCAGCTTAATTAGTTGTAATAAGCCCTTTCCAAAACGTGTGGGAAAGTAAAGAGAAAAATCAGTGTAGCTTTAGAAGCGTGATCAGCAGTGCCTTCAGATGAAGGTCTTCAGATCTGAGTGACCTCAGTGATCTGGCAGTGGCGTGAAGACATATTTCTTTCTCTCTGACAGTAGAAATGTCATTGGAACTGATGATCACAGCAGATGTCCAGACTGGTGCCATGTTGGATAATGCAGAGCAGGCAGTTTATTTTACATCAGGAATTTCTGGCTTGCTGTTTAGAAATACCTGACAACTACACTTTGTTAGCTCATGTAATCCTTCAGGATTTTCTAACAAAACATATCTGTTAGTATCTAAGTGGATCATATTTTTCTGATAAAGAATATGGTAGGAAATTGCAAGAATTTACAAAAAGGAAACACATTGCAATAAACATGTAATTTCATTATTCTTTTAACTTAGAGTTCCTTCAGTAAAAGAGATCCTCCTTCTTTCATTTTTGAAGGAAAACACTGAAGGTCATATTACAGAGCTAATTTTTATTTGTTCATGTGCTTCTTGGTGCAGCTTCTTGTTTACAGTCAATGCAATAATAAATTGGTGAAACTGTTATCACTGATTAAAGAGAACAAGCAGTAAACATTGGTGAATGTTTCTCTGAAAGGGAAACGTTCCTGAAAATAACTGCTCCATGAATGCAAATTTCCTCACTGATAACTCTGTCCATAGAATCTTAGAATCTTTCAACTACGAAGGAGGCTATTCATGTTAAATGTTAATTAGTGTTAAAATAATGTTCAAAATGAGACCAGTTGAGAATGCAATCACTTTCAACAGTATTCTTTGAAAGAGCTAATTAATTCTAACTACTCTTCTATTCTTTCCCAAAGCTCTGAAAACACTTTCTTGGCAAGTTTACATCTAATTTTGTCCTGAAATTTATCACTGCATCGTCTTTCACCAATTTTTCAAGCAATATGTTCATGATCGTCAGAATTTGCTGCATGAAAATGAATGCTCTCCCTTTGTGAATGATCTTAAATTTATGTCTTCTAGTTTCTGACACACCAGCAAGTGGAGACAGCTTCTCCTTATTTCCCCCATCAAAACCTATAATTTTAGTCATACTTAAATGTTAAATTTTCCCTTATCCTTCTCTGCTCTGAGAAGAACAATCCCAGCTTCTGTTACGTGTACAAAAATGGAAAATACTGGAAATACTCATAGTAGTCTGTCAGCAGTATTTCGCTTGTATTGTAGCTTCTCTAAACTTGCCACAGAGCTGCAGTCCCTTAATCCGGGTACAATTCGAGCAAATCTACTCTCCATTCTCTCCAAGGCCTAGACACCCTTCCTAAATTGTGCTGCAAAACACTGGCTGAGGTTTATAAAGCTTTAGGATAACTTTCCTGATTCGTTTTCTATCTGTCTTTGTTATTTCTTTTAAACTCTTTGAATCAAAACAATTTAGACTAGCACTGGAACATTTGCCAGTGTTGATATCCACCAATAATATTAAGCATCATCAAGTTGGTATAAACACCATAAGATATCACTACTGTGCTCCAACAAAATGCCTCAGTCCCAACCACATGACAATGCTGGACGAGACTTAGAAACCTGTGATGTGGGTTATTTGGAATGGAGACTTCTGGCATGATCAGTCTGGGCTGGGTTTGAACCCATGTCTAAGCGGGGAAAAAAACAAGTTCTAACTCTACATACAACACCATGAGATATTGGTCAGCTAGACAGTTAGCAAAATAACATCAATGGCACAGGACTGATTCCTTGAACTGAGTGACTTACTAGAGGTAAGTGTTAACCATTTTATTGTGGGACACCAACAGTACAGGTCTGATTTCCATTCCAGCCAACTTAGAATTGGGATCTGCTTCCTGAGAGTGGAAGTTAGGGGAAATTGTGGCATAGAGACAATGAGACATGCAGCATGGAAACAGACCCTTCGGTCCAACTCGCCCATGCCGACCAGACTCCCTAAATTAATCTAGTCTATTTGTCAGCATTTGGCCATGTCTCTCTAAACCTTTCCTATTCACCTACCCATCCAGATGCCTTTTAAATAGAGATAACAAGGTGTGGAGCTGGATGAACACAGCAGGCCAAGCAGCATCAGAGGAGCAGGAAGGCTGACGTTTTGGGCCTAGACCCTTCTTCAGAAATGTTTAAATGCCTTTTAAATGTTGCAATTTTACCAGCCTCCACCACTTCCTCTGGCAGCTCATTCCATACACTATTTGTGGAAAAGTTGCCTCTGAAGGTCTTTTTTAAATCTTTCTCCTCTCACTTTAAACCTGTGTCCTCTAGTTTTGGACTCTCCTATAGGGGGAAAATACCTTGGCAGTTCACCCTATCACTGTATGAGTAATCCAGAAACCCAAACTAATGCTCTAAATCCAACCATGGCTGCTAAAGGAATTTAAATCCAGTCAATTAAAAAAAAACTGTAGGATTGTGGAAGGTTTATTCCTTGATTCATTCTCTCCTTCTCTTTCTCTCTCTCTGGGCATTGTCTATTCACTCCACATTCTGATGAAGGGTCACTGGACTCAAAACATTAATTCTTATATTCTCTCTACAGATGTGCTAGATCTGCTGAGTTTTCACCAGGACTACCTGTTTTTGTGTCACAATCTATTTTAGATATTTATCTTTAAGCAGGCAGCATCTTCATGAAAATGCTTGGCACAATATGCTGTTTTGTTTAGGGGACAGAGAAAATTCAGAAGAGTCTGAATTATTATTTATAATTTTTATCTGATCATAATGCCATCCTATGGCTATGTTGATACTGAATTATTAAAAATGTAGTCATTAAGATATTGCCACCTTAACATGTCACTGTTGTAGTACAAAGGCAAAATTGCTATGTTCCTTCACGTGGTAATCAACTCTGAATTATTTTAGGTCAAGGTGTGGTTCCAGAACCGGAGAATGAAATGGAAACGTGTTAAAGGAGGCCAACAAGGAGCTGTTGCAAGGGAAAAAGAACTAGTGAATGTGAAGAAAGGGACATTACTGCCCTCTGAGCTGTCTGGCATCTCCACGTCAGGAACTCATCATGCTGGAGACATTCTCTCAAATGATGAAAGCCAGGACAGTGATCACAGCACTGAACTTGGCCATTTGTGATGTACAAAGAAAGGGAACGTCTCAACAGATTCTCAGGAAAGAAATGGCATGAGGAGAATGCAAACAACATTGTCTTAAAGTCTCTGTGTGAATGACTCCTTATGGACATGATGCAAACATCACAGCCTCTGAACATTCCATATTTGAAATGACAATTGGACAGTTTGCAAGTTTATGCCTTGACTTCCATCGTAAATAAAAACAGGAATTGATGCAAAAATACAAAATAAATATTAACAGAAATTCAACAGAGAATAGCAGGGAAGATTTCTTTTGTGTAATTGGTGAAGCAAAATAATAGACAAATTTATAAAGAATGACTATTTAATCTTTCCACAGAAGAAACCCGCAGCCAGTAATAAGAAATGTAGCAATTCAATATGATTGAAATGTTAAAATAGTGCTCTAAAAGAGACCAGTAGAGAATGCAGTCACCTTCACCAGTACTCTTACTCATAGGTGCATGTGTTTTAAAACCTGATGAAGTTAGCAATTATTCAGTCAGATCAATGACAGCTTGAAATTCCTAGACTGCTCCCCCAGTGAATGATAGCAAAGTTATGCAGTTTAAAGTAAAGGCTGAATAGTTGTCCTGTCAGTAGTCATTTCATACATATCAGTGTTCCTAATCAACAGTTCACTGAGTGTTGGAAATCCTAATATTATCTCCTATGGGTAAATATAAAATTCTATCAGTGAATACAAGTTACATAATTACTATTAACATATGTTAAACAGACAGTGCAGTAAATATTTCAACTAATGTTCCTTTTTTCACTTTTCTTATTCAAACATCAAATAGAAACTCCTATTTTCATTCTGTTTGGTCAAATTGTTTTTGCTTCAGTAATTAATCATTCAAACAAATGCATTAAAAATAAGGTGTAGTTGGAATATTGATACCATCCAATCAAGATCATTAGTTTTACTATTGAGTCATCAGTCTTAGCCAGTAAGATAAAATCAGTTTCATCCAATGTTATCAAGATAGTCCATTGGCATTCTCTAATATATGAAGAGTTTTTCAAGTACCTCAACAATGTATAATGTTGATAATGCAATTTTATGCACTGATGTTTAACTTTTGTCAGATTTAGGTGATGTAAAACATGATTATCTAATAGCAATCTGGAGTTCCCTATGGCCCTCCCATGCTTGGAATTGTTTAGGAGTCATTTTCAATACAAAAGATAGATGTATAAACCAAATATCTCACATTCTGTTAAGATGTGATAAATTATTAAGTAATATGCACATCTAACCAAACCAAATTCCAATTGGCATCTTCTCTATGATATTGTATATAGTATAATGGAATAAAAAGCAAGGTTGCCCCTTGAAAATTGAGAATATAATTCCTGACCTACCTGACCTGGAAGGAGAGAAGTATAAGTTTGCTGAATAAGGTTGAGTTAACAACAAGACTGTGGATTTTCTATGTAATACTTAATGACAGGGTGGACGAGATGGCTGAATATTTTTTCTTCATTCCTATAACATATATCAAGAATAAAAGTAACATGCAGAGAGGTTTACAAATGATGTCTGATTCAAAGATTAGGTTAGTTTTTACCTCACTCCAGCCAGTATGTTTTATTAGTGTGTATGATATTTTGTTGAATTGTCAAATTGACAATTTGAATGTGTTCCTAGTATGGTTATGCATTCCTTCACAGGGTTACAGGCAAATAACTTACAATTGCAGAATTTCAGGAAAATTTCATACACAATATATGTTATCATAGCATCTGTAGTGCCAACATGCTTCATACATCAATCAATATATATAAATAGTTGTAAATAATGTTTTTATATAGGGCTTCTTTAATTGCTTGGTAAACATGACTCTAAATGCTTTGAGTCAATGATTATGTCTTAACTCTCAGAAAGTCTAATTCACCGTGTGTTCAGCATTGTAGTAATGCTGCACTTTAGCCTTCTAAAATATAACATTTGTAAATGATTGAAATATGTTTTCATATATCTGGATATGCAATCCCAGATAAAGATTTTGCCCCAGCAGCCTACAGTATTTAAAGTAACTGATGATGAATGAGAAAACAAACACATTATTGCTATTTCTGTTTTTACATTCAAGGCTCTGGTGTAAAAATTGGAAGAATGTAATAAATTGGATTCGCTTCAGAAAATAAGTTTGATATTCTGATATATATGCGATTGCAATTACATGACACAACATGTTAGTGAAGAAATGGATGAAAGAGTTGTGGAAATCTTTTTCTGTTGTCCCTTTCAGAATATGAAACTTAAACCCTTTGGTAGTGTCTCTCAGGTAATTCTGTTTATATCACAGTTCCTAAGTTAAGAGTAAATGGTAAATTTTCAATGGGTTTTAAAGTAATATATAAACAAATCCTGCTGGTATCAAAGCAAATCAGTTCAATTTGTTATCTCCTGGGAATGATAATTATGCAATTTTCTTAACACACTTGAAGCAAATTGAAATATAATGCATTGACAGTAATCACCTGAGAAACATAATGGTTTCCTATTGGTACAATTAAGTCAAACCTGTGGCAGCATTTTGTTTATGATGCCTTTGCACAATACTTGCACACAACCTTAAAAAAAAGTGTCTTATTGTTTTGGTGTGTCTTGTGAAACAAATATTATTCCTTGTATTTGTTTCCTATGTTTACTGAAATATTTTACAAATAAATTTGAAATGTGCCCCTAATAAATTTACATTGTAATAGTAATCATGAAGGAATATATTACTTAGAGAACTCTCATGTGGGTATTTTCCCCATACCAGAATCACAATTGATTTCATTTATTGGGGGCAACTTTAGTTACCTGTAGAACAACATAAATTGCATTTCACAGCCTCAATGTTGTTGGCTTTTGAAAAAACGTATGAAAAACCCTTCAGAAAGGGAATATGCTTCATGTGTTTTCTATAATTTTGCACTATTTACATTTCAATGTTCCTTTCAGAAATCAAAATACAAAGGCTTATATTTTGTGCTGTACGGAAACATCACAGTGGCTCAGTGGTTGGCACTGCTGCCTCACAGTACCAGGAAACCTGGGTTCAATTCCATCCTTGGGCAACTGTCAGTATGGAGTTTGCACATTCCCCCCGGGTCTGTGTGGGTTTCTGCCGGGTGCCCCAGGTTCCTCCCACAGTCCAAAGATGTGCAGGCTAGGTGGATTTGCCATGCGAAATTGCCCCATAGTGTCCAGGGATGTGTAGATTAGGTGGGTTACGGGAGGATGAGTCTGGGTGGGATGCTCTGAGGGTCAGTGTGGACTTGGGCCAAAGAGCCTGTTCCCACTGTAGGAATTCTATGATCTCTAAGCACTATCAATAGGTGAACTTTCATTATAAAAAGAATTTCATTTTTATTATTCAGTGTACAAACAGTCAAACCAGCAGTATGATTAATGTAAAATCTATGGAATATATCACAGTTCCAAGCCTCCAACATTCAACATGCAAAACATGTAACTTCAAAGGAGCCAGTTGACTCACAGTAACAGGACCACTGTTAACCTATTGAATACAAAGGCCAGTAATGTGATGGACAGATGAAAGATCAAATTAAAAATTGGCCACAACCTTCACAATGTTCAATATGTGTACTGGAATATCAACTGTAAAATTGTCCCAATTATAGTAGCAGCTCAGAGCAATGTCACTTGCAACTGCACTTTAGTTGCAACATATGTAGAGTTCACAGTTCTTCAGCAGTGATAGTAATCTTCACTAATTAAGGTCAGAAATCATACAACATGAGAAGTCCAAAAACTTGTGTTTTCAAATAAACCTGTTGAACTATAATCTGGAGTCATGTGATTTCTGACCTTGTCTACCCCAATCCAACACCGGCACTTCCACTTCATCATTTAACTGTTTGAATATCTTGGACTATCACACACAGGAACTTATATATTATACTTACACTCAGAAATATATCATTTTAACATACATTTTGAAAGGGGATTGTTTGAAAATGTTATAGTGCACTATATCTTCTCAGGTGAACACTTCCCCCTTTTGCAATTTGCTTAATGTCATGTTCATGCCTTCTCCAGCCAGATGATGAGATAGCAGCCTGCTGTACATCCTGGGTCAATATAGCAAACAGAAGATGGGAGATAAAAGCTAGGATTCAAAAACACTGAGTTGGATAGAGTCATTTGAATTATAATTCCAGCCTATTGCACTTCTCCAGTAGGAGATCAAAACAGTACGTCAGCAGTCTGTTTTACACTCTGCCCATTTGAATGGAAGAAACAAATGGTTAGGATATAAAATGAGTTGGCGCTCCAATTAGTGCTTAATATCACCACCAAAACTCAATATTTCTTTTGATGGACTTAACTACATTGATACATCAATGTCAATGACAGAATGTTTATTGTGTATGACACCAAGACTTTGCCCCTTTTTATCTCTGTAAACTTCTGCAATGCCACAACCCTCTGAAATATCTATACTTCTCTAAATTTGGTCTATTGTGCATTCCTAATTATAATCATTTCACTATTGATGGCTGCACCTTCAGTGGTAGAGATCCTAATCTCTGGAATATCCTCCCAATACTGCTCCACTTCTGTACGTCACTTCCATCCTTTAAAAGATTTCTCAAGACTTTAACATTGCCGGAAAGAAACAACAAGATAAAGTTTAGCATCTTGCACTCTTCAGGACGGGGAAATAAGAAACAGCTTGAATAAAAGGCTATTAATCAATCCAGCATTAAAGAGGGAGCTGACTGGTTGAGGAATCATTGGAATGGAGATCCAGCATAAACAACTACAGATACAGAAATTGCTGGAAAAACTCAGCAGGTCTGGCAGAATCCATGGAGAGAAAGCAGAGTTAACATTTTGGGTCCTGTAACCCTTCTTCGGAATGGAGAAGAACAGATAAGAAGAATAACTAACTGTCTATTTTAGTTCTCAGACCAGACTTATAGACTTTTATGGCCAGGTATTGCCATAGGGTTACAGCAGAGTTTAGCAGTTTCCATGACTACTTTAGTCTTATGGGAGAAAAGTGTGATACATGTAAAAATTCCTTTTGTCCATATAAAGCAGGGTCCTGGTTGTTAATATATGTAGCTTCCAGCACACGCACATTCCTTATGCTGCAAGTCTTCCTGATGATCTTAAATTGGTTTTCCAGTATAATGCTTAGTACAGTCCTGATTATTTAATTAATGATTTCCAATAGCAGAATCACATCTAACAGTGGATATGCTGCTCTGACGCTTGGAAGCACAGGCTGGTTGAACATGATCAGTATGTGCCCACTGTGATTGGTCAATGGAATATGGTACTTGATACGGCCTGTGAGCTATTGGGATACTTGGCCTAAATATTGGGCGCTATGCCAACACTGAATATTGTATATCACATCACTTATTCATGTGAGAGGCAAAAATGCTTTTTGGCTTACTGGCAGCAACCTGTTAGTGCAGAAAACCACTCAAACGTTTATAGGAAACAACTACCCTCACCTTTTTTATCCTGTTTCTTGTATCCTAATCCTGATGACCGCAAGACGGAAATCGTTGACTTTTCATCTCCTTTTAGCCATGTTGAAGTTCTGTATTAATTGCATTACTTACCAAAAACCTACCTTTATGACCAAACTTTTCCTTTCTCCTTCTGTAGCTCAGTCTCATACTTTGTTTTATAATGCTGTTGTGAAGTGCCATGGATGTTTCATTATGTTAAAGGCACTGTATAAGATGCTGTTCTTAATTTCTGATATATTCACAGTTATGCCTTATGAAGTTATCAAATGCAAAACAGGAACTACTTCAATTGAGCAATTATTAGTCTTATATACATTTATGATGTTGACTCATTTGGCAATTCAAATGTAGTGTCTTCCTGAGACTTGACTGTTGAAAATAATAAAGGGAATTGTGATAGGACGTTTATAAATCTGCAGTCCTTCTCAAAAATGAAATGCAAACAGAAAATGTTGAAAGTGCTCAGCAGGTGTGGTAGTGGCTTGCGACAAGATCAACAGAATGAATTGATAGAATGTTGATGAGGTGTTGGGGTCTTGCCTGCCCGCTGGAGAGCTCACTTCCGCCTGTTGGGAAGATATGTTGAGTCACAAAGCAATTACAGAGTGGCACGGTGACTGACAGCCTATCCCCTCGAATCAAGGGCAGAGAAATTGCTGCCAGCCACGAAATACTGGGAGACTGACAGCTCTTTTGATCAGTAATCCAACAGGGGAGACCATGGCTGCTATGAGATGAACACCCACTGGAATCCTAGGGTGCTCACAGCCACTGGTAAGTTGTGCATATATGTGTGTGTGTGTTTGTAAAGGGGCAAGGTGGTTGTTAGCAAGGGCAGTGGTGTGGCTCTCAGCAGGCACTGTAGGTGTAAGATTGATGTGGTATGGTGCCATACAGAAACATGTCCTCCACCTTAGCTGTTCAGTGCTGATGACCATGAGAGGGTGTCAGCCTTTCTGTCTGTGCTAAAAGGATTTTGCAGATTCAAAATGCATGTTTGGGCACACTAAGTGCAAAAGCTGGACCCTAACTTTGAAATACATATTTAGGAATTTACTAAAAATCAGTGCATGTGGTGACGGAGGCAGTACTGACTGTCCTAACGTGAAAATGGATTGGATTTTAAGACATGCTCACACACAGCAGACTGGACATTGCAAAACAATGAACAGAATCTTTTCACATTTCCAAATGGTATTGACATCCACCAGCAGCAATGGTTCACAGTTTTTTATTCAGAGTATATATTGACCCCTGTTTTTGGAAGGATGTTTTCCATGGTTTTGAAGGTTAAGTAGTACACCAGCAATCTATGATAACTGTGCTAATTCCTGGTGACTGTTTCATATTTTATGATTGATTAAATGCTTTAATTGAAACACTTGAAGCATAAATCACAAATATCAACAAGCAGTGACTGATGGAGACAGTGAGCAAAAAAAAATTCAATTTGTATACAATGATCATTAGGCCTTTTAGTTGTATTTACAATGACCTTCCCATAAATTTATACACATGAAGTTGCCGAGCAGCGCAAAACATTTATTTGAGGTGGACACTGGAGGGAGGATACCTTTAATAAAATATTTGGATCTGTGTTCACTCTAACACTCTGACACCAGCATCAGAAACACTGTACAATAGCAAAATTCTATGGATGCTGGAAATACGAAATACTGGAAATACTCAACAGGTCCGAAAGCATTTGTGGAGACAGAAACAAATTTCAAGGTGATAATCATTCATTAGGATTGGAAAAGGTAGAGGTATTAGATTCTTTTGCAAGTACAAGACAGGGCAAAAAGGGAGGAGAGCAGAGGAACAACAGTGAAGGTTCGTGATATGGTGGAAGACCGAGAATATTGGACAGCAAGAGATAATGGTGTTAGGCAAATATGGAGTGATAATAGGACAAGTTAAAAAAAGATTTGTCTAGAGCAAGTTACATTGGGAAAATCCAGAATCATTATTAACAGCTGCAATCTAAAAACAAACAGAAACTGAAAACAGAAGTTATAGTCTGAAACTATATTAAGAATGCCAGTAAATTTTGCATGGTATAACAAGGTGGCAATGTAATTCTTCCATGTACAACTTTGGTACTTGACATCTATAGCATGGCAATTGATACTTAATCAACAATAACTGGGA